GGGCGACGGAGAAAGCTGCGAATGACCAGGTCGAGGGGGGGGGAATGTGGATTGCCCAGTAGCGTAGCTAAGAATGAGCAAAGACAAGGGTGGAATAATATATGTTTCTGCCTTTTCACACCCTCGCAATCTCAGGAAGCTTCTCAATATCTGGAATAGAGCTTGGCCAAAGCGGTGGTGGCACAAATTAAATTGAGGTAGTAGTAGTACTAAGTAACTGGTTGCGCTTCAGTAGAACTGATTGTCGGCAGTGATTTGCGCGCGCCACAGCCCAGGATCTCCTCAGCCACACTTTATCCGCGCCGGAGCAAAATCGGGCCCTTTCTTTCCCCGGGTTCGCCGCGAGAAAGAAGTTATGCAATATTTGCCCAGTCACCCCCTCCCCTGTCGCTGAATCCCAACGGGCTTTACTGTGGTCTTTTGCTCAGCTGGTCCATGCAAATCCAGAAACCGAGCACTGAATGTCATTCAGTCCGCATCGCTTCTTGCGCCCCCGCAATGGTGCTGGGCTGCCTTCCTATGCACTGCAGCCCCGACTCCGCCCCGGATATTGGTGTCGCCAGAGAGAAGGATTTCAGCATACTAGATGGCACACCCATGATGCGACGCCCACGAGCAAACAAATATCGACGGAGCCTGACCCGATACTACACGAGTCAGCACCTCCCACCGAGCCCAGTGGTCTTGTAAACCACAGTCTTGACCGATCCCGAAGCAAAGCGCAGTCTTCGTCCTCTGCTCATACCGTTTTACCAGAATCTGAACGTGATTTCTTCGACGATTCATCTTTTCCGCAGCCTAAGCCACTCCAGGTCTTGGATGCTTGCGATCCCTGGAGCGATTATTCGGCTTTGCGCACTCCCGACTTCCACAACGAGGGCAGTCGCCGACTTCGACACAATGCACTCGTGGTGAATGGTGGCACTATCAGCTACCGAGAGAGAATGGTGGGTGAGGAGGCATTCCACGCGGATGAAAAAATACGAAGTTCATCTTTTTTCGTCGGTTCACCTAGGCTTCGGAGGTGGAAGGTTGCCCGCAATGAGCTGTTCAAAGCTAAATACTTTGATCGGCCAGTGGCACGGGAGGACCTTGTCGAGGAGTTTCACATGCACAAAGCTGACAAGGAGCTACTGGCGATACTGCAGAGTGAGGATTTCGACAAATTCCGCGAGGAGTGGGAATTTAAAGACATGGCCATCAAAGGTGAGCACTGGATGAGGCTGTCACTCTGGCTTATAGCAAACTCCCCGGAGCTTGCTTTGAAGTTTCTCTATATAACCTGCCAAGGCGAGAAGAGGCCGCTGCATGTCATGGTCTGCGAATGCCTGCTTTTCTTGCGAAACTATCCAGATTTACTTTCCACCTGGACTTGGGAGGGGAAGACCTTTGCCGACATCCTCGCTGCTTGCTTAGATCCAGAACACTGGCCAATTGTCTATGCATCACAGAAAGGTATCCGTTTCTTCATCATGGGAGCAGATGACGAACAAGTTCTTCGAGCCTGGAAGCTCGTCCACGAACGACAGGTGTACACGTCTGCTGAAACCTATCTTGCTTACGCGGCTCGCTTCACCAAGATGAAGAATGTCGATTTGGCCCTCGCAGCTTTGGATCATGTACGCCAGATTGGACAGGTTGGCCTGGAGATGACTTCCCAGCCAGTCAAGTCCCACGGCTGTCTGCTGTTGCTGCTCGACTCTGTCGAGGATGGCCCCAACGGGCGCAATTTTCGCATCCTTCCCAAGCTCCTCGAGATGGGCATGCGTCCTGACTTGGAGATGATGGATCTCATTCTAAGAAACTGTTACAGGACAGGGGATGAAGAACTTGGTCGCGATATGTTGAATCACATGCAGAGCCAAGGCTATCCGTTGACGACCTATACCTATGTCACGCTATTGTCCGATGCCACCCGGCGACTGGACCGATATGAGATTGATCGGCTCCGGGATGAAATCGACATGGAGGGAGAGGACATCCGGACCAACAAGTTTGTCCAGTCCAAATTGTTCCACGCGTACTTCTGTCTCAATGTGAAAGATCAGGCGAATCGGCCTTCGGACATAGACAACAGGCACGCATTTCGCACTCTGCTGAAGATGTACAATGAGATGTACGACATTGTACCTTTGAAGAAGCTTGGGATTGTTCCGCAATATTATCAACCGCCAACTACCGAACGAACCACGGTGAGAACCTCGCCTGACGCCGTACCTCTCTTCCTCATGATTGCATCGTACCTTCGGTGCAACAAGCATGTCTCTGTCACTGCGCATGTCTACGAACGCTTTATCGAGCTCTTAGAGAAAGAGGACCCAGTCATCTCTTCTCTCGCTAGGACGGATCACACTTGGCACGAGTTTATGCATGCATGGCGTAATGACGTCCGAGGATTGCGTCCTTCGATCCGCCTTGTCGATACCATGCAGCGTCTTAGCAACGAAGGCAGTGTCAGCCCGAACAAGCCACACTTCCGGCCGAAGCCGACAGTCTACATCTGGACGACGTTAATATCTGCGTTCCTTTGGAACAAAGAACCGCGGGCGGCAGAGCACGTGATCGAGATGATGAAGAAGAGCAAGTTCAAGTTCAACCAGATCTTCTGGACCACCTTGATCGACGGCTATGCTCGGAACAAGGACATTCTCAAGGTCGCTGAAACCATCCGAGCGATGGAGAGTGATGGCTATGAAATGGACGCGTTCTGCATCAAGGCGCTGCGCCACATTCAGGATCCGGAGCGACTGTGGGAGGCTGTGGAGGAGCTCGACAAGGAGACCGACGAGCAAGTAGACCGAACCACGTTCGAGTCCCTCACCAAGAAATCGCGTCTTGACGAGATTCAGGATGACCAGGGTGACCCAGACTGGCTGCTCGACCAGGGTCTTCAACGCTTGAAGGCCAAACAGGCTTGAAGGCCTCATCCCAAGCAGGCGCGGAATTAAGATACCCCCACTTTTTTTTCTTTTGGAGCAACTCGGATTGATTCTTCAGCATAGCTGGTGTACATGGGAGGGAGAGCATGGCGGTTGTTACATAGAGCGTTTTGCGGCGTCCAGACAGGCACAGGATATTCTTCGTGGAGTAAAGTCACATTTCTTCGATATCATGTACATATCCATCACTTCTAGAATTCAAGAAGAAACCATCAAGCTTCATGCTACACAAACGGCATGGTGAGAGTGAAAAACTTCAAATTAACGCCACTGGCTGATGTAAAGGACAGTATATTACCATGCGATTTCCTGAACCCATGAGAAAAGCAAGACACCTCGATCAGCCGCCGAAGAAGATGGAAACCTAGAAGATCAAGAACCATCAGCATCTGGAACTCGACTTGAGGGGCTGTCCCTCTTGTCATTCGAGTGAATGGGCACTTACAGCCATCACCACGCAGCAAATACTGACGTAGGGACTCAGCCGTTCACCGATGCGAGCACATTTCCAGAAGATACCGAAGAAGCTACAGGCAGGCGTCAGAAAAGTTTCGTCCGGTGAATGAGAGGAAAGGGTGCCATTTGGTGAGACCCTGCTGATAGCAACCAACAACACAACACATACCCATTCTGATTCCGATCCATGATTCCCGGCATGATCGAGTGGGCGTAGGTGCTCGTACAGATGATAAGCAGGAAGACCAGCAGAAGTGACTGGAAATTGAAGAGAGCCGACTGAGTTTACAGAAACAAGTCAGCATCACTATTTGTGAAAGATCCTTCAATCGCACTGCGCTGCCTCTCACTTACCATCTTGACAAAGGGACCGAACCAGCTGCCTGGCCTCCTGTTCTTGTTGTTTCTTCAAATGCAAGCTCGCAAGGAAGGGGCCTTCTTTTCTTCCGAGAAACCTCACTGCAAACACAGGGTTTCTGCTGGAAGTCTTTCTCAAGGACTTTATACCTTCAAAGAACACACAGTAGTTGGCTTCACCAGCTCGTCGTCGTTATCGTCATCATCGATCGATCATCCTTCGACGGCGGAGGGGGATTCATTCTGCCAGCATGTCGTCCGGAAGTTACCGCCACCGCCTTACGGGGACGAGGCCCGCGCTCCGCTATGCGCCGTCGCCGCGGGTCCGTCCTACAGCCCGTGTTACCTGGACTACTCCTACTACAACAAGACCTTCATCACAACCACAGCAACAACCACAACAACAACAACCATC